AACCGTTTGAAAGCTATGATTGTTGTCGATCTCGAAGACCAGTTTGGCGTACGGCCCGCCCATATTGGTGGCCGATTGGATCACCTCGGTCACCATGCGCATTTCAATCTCGTTGAAATCACTTTTGTGGTCATCTATGGGTCGGCCGATGGGTATGACAGGCATTTCATACCCCGACACTACTTTCTCGTCGACTCTTTTCGGTGAATAATGTGTTAATGAGTTTTGGGTATAATTTTCACTGTTTTGGTGATTATCTGTTGAGATATTGTTTGTCTGATAATCAGATCTGTTTATCACTTGACTATCAATGCAATCATTTGCGCAAAAACTGGTCTCAATGTCCATAATCTGTTCATTGAGTGCATCGACACTGAAATTGTTGTCATCGAGTATTTCACTCATGAAGTCTGTGTCAATAGTCGTAGTGTTTGTGCTGTCATTTTCATCCCATATTTCCTGCGATGAATTTATTGCTGATTTTAACACTTGGTTTCCATCGTTAGTATTATTTATGCCACTTATTGTCAATTTGATGAGTCTCTTGAGCTCCCGTTCCTCTTCATTGGCCACCCATTCCTGTGTTTAATTATCAAATCATTAAAAATGTAAAACTTTGTAATTAATCAAACAATTATCAATACCCGTCTCATTCCGATGGCCAGGCATTTATCTAAACGACATTTTGAGCAAAACTTTCTCGTTATGGCATTTATACTGCAATTGTTGTCGAAATGACATTTAAGCTATAATTGCACAGAATATGATCACATTTAATAGATTTATAATTGTTAAATAAAAATGCATTTTATATTACATTAACTTTAAACGAGTTTCTCCTGAAGAAAGCCTTACAGGGCTCACACGATAGGGCGCCGAAGTTTTTGCCTTTAATTGTAATAAATTTTACACTATTTAGTTGTTTTCACTTTAAATTACAACAATATATTTATACATATTATTTAGCTAACTTATTATAGATTTTTTAATCAGGTTTACACAATATCATACCTAATGCTAAATCTCCACAAACGCTACACAATTTATGCGCCGACTTTTCACACATTTTAATTTAATTAGTATTTATTTATTTATTTAATTGTTTTTTACAATAATAATTATAATTAAACTTAATGTTGATTATTCAAATAAAGATGAATTTACATCATAACTTATAATACACAATAAAATTAATAATTGTCATACATTTAGCAAATAAACAATTATTTAAATAACACTTTGAAAAATAAAATTCTTATTAATACATTTCATTAAACATGATAAAATAAAACAATAAACATGTTTAAAAACACTTTTAATAATTAAAATCCATAACTAGTCATTTATTACTTTCTTGTCAAAGAATTTCATTAAAGCGATTGTATAATCCATGAAAAGTAAATATACTTAAGTATTAAGTCAAGAATACATTAGCCATAAAAATAATTTAATAATTCATTTACAATCATTGAAAAATAAAATGATTATTAACTCAAAGCAAAATTTAAACTCAAAATCCAAGACTTTGTACACAAAACGTATGGATGACATGAATATAAACCAAAACGGTGTTTATTATAATGTTTTTTGTTGGCGGAGAGAATTGGGAGACAAACATCTAGTGGTGAAACTTGTTTAAACATTAAATTGATGGTATCTA